CCCGTCCCTTCCCTTCCCTCCCTACCGCCCGGATCTGCTAAGGACCCTGTCCCTTCCCTCCCTACCGCCCGGATCCGGTACTCACTCTGTACCTTCCCTCCCTACCGCCCGGATCCCGTACTCACTCCGTCCCTTCCCTCCCTACCGCCCGGATCCCGTACTCACTCTGTACCTTCCCTCCCTACCGCCCGGATCCCGTACTCACCCCGTCCCTTCCCTCCCTACCGCCCGGATCCGGTACTCACCCTGTCCCTTCCCTCCCTACCGCCCGGATCCCGTACTCACTCCGTCCCTTCCCTCCCTACCGCCCGGATCCCATACTCACTCCATAACTTCCCTCCCTACTGCTCGGATCCCGTACTCATCCCGTACCTTCCCTCCCTACCGCTCGGATCCCGTATTCACCCCGTACCTTCCCTCCCTACCGCTCGGATCCCGTACTCACCCTGTACCTTCCCTCCCTCCCGCTTGGATCCCGTATTCACCCTGTCCCTTCCCTCCCAAAGGCCCAGATCCTGTACTAACCGTATCCCTTCCCTCCGAACTGCCAGGATCCTATACTGACCCCATGCCTTCCCTCCCTACCACCCACATCCCGTACTGACCACGTCCCTACCCTCCAAACCACCCAGATCCTGTCCTGACCCCATCCCTTCCCTCCTTACTGCCCGGATCTGGTTCTGACCCCAACCCTTCCCTCCGAACCACCCCGATCCTTTACGGACCCCGTCCCTTCCCACCGAACTGCCCGGCTACTGTACTGACCCCGTCCCTTCCCTCCCTACCACCCACATCCCGTACTGACCAAGTCCCTACCCTCCGAACCACCCAGATCCTGTCCTGACCCCGTCCCTTCCCTCCCTACTGTCCAGTTCCTGTACTGACCCCGTCCTTTCTGTCTCTACCACCCAGATCCCATACTCACCTCATCCCTTCCCTCCTTACCAACCGGATCCTGTACTGACCCCATCCCTTCCCTCCCTAACGCCCGGATCCCGTACTGACCCCAACCGTTCCATCCCTAATGCCCGGATCCCATACTCACCCCGTACCTTCCCTCCCTACCGCCCAGATCCCATACTGCCCCTGTCCCTTCCC